TATAGCAGATAAACTTCATGAAATTAATAGTTAGAAAGCTTGAAATATCGGGGATCTACTTTTCTAAGACTAGATTTGATTGATATTTAATATTGTGAAGCTAGTATAGTTGCTATATTGTGTATCCTGATAAGGGAAATGAAGTTAGGAGTTTGAATTCAGAATACAGTTTGAAAAGCTCCGGTTATGCGTTACGACGTTTAAAAAAAAGAAAATTAAGTCCCCTGTCCCTTCATGTTTTCTTCTATTTTTAAAGTTCACCATCATCCAATATTAACCCTTATTCTATCTCTGGACCTCATCTTCGTCCTAAACATAACACAACCCCTTCGGCCTTCACTTTAAATTTCAAAATTCAAATAAACTTTAATGGAAAAGTGGTACACTAAATATGTGGGGATGAAATTAACGTCCCCCTCCTGAAAGGTTCATGTCCAGGGTGTGCTCTGTAGTTGACAGTCCTCTTAATCTGCAGAAAATATTTCATGCGACTGCGACTTAAAATTAAGATAATATACAAATCAACAATTACAAATAGTTGTCGGGAAATTTGCCAAACAATTCTGCATGACAGATTTGGAGATCGCCTGGGAAAATTACTGTGATTTTGGGACTATTTGACTCCACAAACCGCAGATTTCTTGCAAACTTGCGGTATCCTGTAGCTCCGCTTCCCTCCGCAAATTTTAAAATTTTTGCAATCTTCCCGTATCCTGCAGACTTAGTTCCATCCGCAAATCAAACTAGAGCCCTATTTCCCACCACGAACTTTTAACTTTTTGTAATTTTTTCACGTTTTTGCAGCCTCTTCACTCGTAGCTTCCCTTATTTTACGTTTTTTCTCTTTGTAATGCTAATTAATTGTGGCGGGAATGGTCCGGTAACTTTTTTCCGACAAAAATCAATTATAATTTTTTATCAAAATAGCCCTTGCATTATAAATTAGAAAAGGTTTCTACGGTGAAATCTTTCAGCTACAGTTAACGTTGATTGATTTTGCCTCCTGCGAATCGGCTACCATTTTGTCTTTGGACGACAGTGATGAATTTAAAGAACTGTATCTTTCAATTTTCCAATCAATATTTAACAAGTTCCCAATTGGTCTCCTCTGACAACAGTGAAGTATGCTCGATTTTCCGGTATAGCGAGTAAAAAGTTTCATCCAGAAAGTAGATAGGATTAACATCAATAGTGTCTCACACTCACAGTAACTTCGCTTGTGACTTCATCTTCCAGGCTCCAGGTTTAATATAATCTGCATAATTTCCCTGCTTTTGCAGACCCGCACATTCCTTGCATTCTGTTTTATTCTTTAGCTAAATCTGATTTTAATTACTTCCGCACTTTGCAGTTACATTGTATCTTAGAAATGGAACTTTTTCTCGGATCGAAAAGTTGCACTTCCAATGTGATGAAATATTTATTTTGAGATAACGTTGACTAATGACCGAGACCATCTCTATTCCATGAATTGTGATTTACGTCAATCAAATATTGAATGTGATGTGAAGTAAAATAGGTTCTTTTGCGATAGTCAAAACGCGACAACTAGCGCTGGATGGCGACAACTAGCGCTATCCAGCGCTAGTTGTCGCCATCCAGCGCTAGTTGTCGCTATCCAGCGCTGGATAACGCTGGCCAGCGCAAAATATATATGTTCGATAATTGTCGCTATCCAGCGCTAGTTGTCGCCATCCAGCGCTAGTTGTCGCCATCCAGCGCTAGTTGTCGCTATCCAGCGCTAGTTGTCGCTGGCTATGCGACACTGTCGCACGCGATAGTTTGCGATGGCCAGCGCAACTGGCCATCGCAGAAAACAGTTCGATAACTAGCGCTGGATAGCGACAACTAGCGCTGGATAGCGACAACTAGCGCTGGCCAGCGCTGGCCAGCGCTAAGCGATAGCCAGCGCTGGCCAGCGCTGGCCATCGATATCCAGCGCAAAATTTTTGCGCTATTACTCGTCAGCTAGCGCTGGCCAGCGCTAGCCAGCGCTAGTTGTCGCTATCCAGCGCTAGCCAGCGCTGGCCAGCGCTAGCCAGCGCTAGTTGTCGCTATCCAGCGCTAGCTAGCGCTAGCTGTCGTGCGACAGTGTCGCATAGCCAGCGACAACTAGCGCTGGATAGCGACAACTAGCGCTGGATGGCGACAACTAGCGCTGGATGGCGACAACTAGCGCTGGATAGCGACAATTATCGAACATATATAATTTGCGCTGGCCAGCGTTATCAAGCGCTGGATAGCGACAACTAGCGCTGGATGGCGACAACTAGCGCTGGATAGCGCTAGTTGTCGCCATCCAGCGCTAGTTGTCGCGTTTTGACTATCGCAAAAGAACCGTAAAATATCCCAAACAGAATCTACAGTGGGATCTACACTCTACAGTAACATTGTAGAATATCTCGAATAGAACCTACAGTGGGGTCTACAGTAACATTGTCGAATATCTCAAACAGAATCTACAGTGGGGTCTACAGTAACATTGTAGAATATCTCGAACAGAATCTACAGTGGGGTCTACAGTAACATTGTAGAATATCTCAAACAGAATCTACAGTGGGGTCTACAGTAACATTGTAGAATATCTCAAACAGAATCTACAGTGGGATCTACAGTAACATTGTAGAATATCTCAAACAGAAACTACAGTGGGGTCTACAGTAACATTGTAGAATATCTCAAACAGAAACTACAGTGGGGTCTACAGTAACATGTAGAATATCTCGAATAGAACCTACAGTGGGGTCTACAGTAACATTGTAGAATATCTCGAACAGAATCTACAGTGGGATCTACTCATCTACAGTAACATTCCGGAATACCTCAAACAAAACGATACATTCAGCAACTCAGCGCCAGTAAAACTATCATTTGTCACCAAGTAAGCGGTAGACTGGTAGACAAACAAAACGGCTCACCCTTTATAGTCTCACCATACAAGTAAAACATTTGACTCTTTCGCCATCTCAGGAAATAAACCTTAGAATTATTTAGAATTCCTTGGTTATGCTCTATGACAGTTTATTTGAATAAAATAGGCAATAATTCCTTTTTTTAAAAGCTTTAATTTTCAGTTCCTATATTATTTTCGTTACAAATTTATGAACAATTAACAGACAACATAACAAAGAATCGATGTAAAATATTTGCATAATTATATATGAGTCTAGGTAATATCGATTTCATCAGTATTAGCATTGCTATGTTGATTAATTTTTATTATGTGAAGATGTAACCTTCGGCAATATACAGGGAGAGGGGTGCTAAGGGCGATCTGATTTCAATTTATTTGTCTCAGCAGGATCATATCTATCTAAATAACTTGCATTTAATATCTTTACCGAAAATGAAATAAATGTTGATGATATGATAATTTGACAAGTGACTATTATTTCGTTCTGAATTACCATTCACTCGACTGATCAATCATCATATTTCCCGACAATACTTTTGTCTTTTCCGAGCACTTTTATGTTATAAAACCCAACGGCCAAGCGTATGACTTTTTACGTCGCGTAAAATTAAAAACAAATTGACTGGTTCATTATATTGCACTTTTGCCATATAGTTAGCTACAACGGGTAATGTTATAAACAACAGACCAATCCCATCAGTCGGACTCAGGGGAGGCTTACGACCTGAAACAATTTTTGCCCTACTTAAGTTTTTCTTTTACAAACCTCCAAAGTAGAAACTGGGAATCTTATTTAGGTTCCTCTTAAGTTCATTTCAGCAGGAGATTGTTCATGAGGTTTGCAAAGTAATCCAGTTATCTGCAAAATGATCTACAACATCATTCGGTTTCTAATCGACCATCAGTATCACTGTTGCACTGTATCAACCGCATAGTAGCCTTATTCCCAGACAACATATCAAAAGTCTGAAATCTAGGGGTGCCCTGGTACCTGGAAACAGGAAAATGACCTGCAAATAGGTTGGATTTCCTAATTGACGATAGCTGTCCATGGTGGCTTAATGGAACCTTGGGTGGTAGCGACGGCCACACGATCTCCTTCAAAGTTACCTACTTAAAATTACGTGACGTCGTTACCACTGCAGACAACGCGATGGGTGGTTTCACAGGATGAGGTGGCATTACTGCTAGTAAATATAGCTGAGCAGATGTTTTCTTGCAGCTCTGAGAGATGATAATTCCCGTCCCTCACGTTTGTAAGTATCAGTCATTTTGGAGGACTTATCTTACCGAACCTGCAGTTCAAGTGTTGTAGTGTTACATTTTGTGTGGTGCGAGAGGTGTGCTGTGTACTGTGTTAACACGTGGTGGTGATTCTGGGCTCTGATTGGTTCATTGTTGAAGTTTATTGGTTTATAGCTGTCACGTGTTAGTATCCAGATTTATAATTTCTTATCACTTTCTGGTATTCTAGAAGGAATTTTTCGTATGTGTATATGGAATTTGTCGTATGTGGTAAACCAATAAGTACAAATTAGAACCCCTCGAATGATAAATTTACCCCGTGAATGGCAAATGGTACAAACATTGTCCCAGTGAATGGTATTGGAAGCTAATTAGATAAAGATAAGACGTGATCTTATAACCGAGCAGCAGTAATAATGAAATTAGGCTAAAATTCGCCAGTTTTGATCTCACCGTTATTGGTTGATGGGGTTTTTACCGCACTTGTTTCACGGGTTGCACCGATGTTTGGGTCAATTTTAAGTTCTGTGATTTCTGAACACATGCACTCTTTAACGCAAAGAGGATCAGAATATTTTGGCTATATTCAGCTTTATTGATTATACTAATTTTTTGGTTGCATCGCTTGGTATTACTTTTTACAAGTTTGTATCCTCGCAAAGTGGATTAGCCCCAAATATCTTGTCTTAGAAGTTAATCCACGAATATTATTTTCAATATTTACTTTAATCATTACTTCAGCTGTAGCGATCAATCTCAAAACAATCATGTTTCTACATTTATAAAACTCGCAAATTTCAAATAACACATTATAAACTATAACATTATTAAAAACTAACAAACATCATGTCAGCTAGGGATGGTCCACAGAAAGTCGCTCCAGCTGTTGGCCATAACAGTGTCCTTGTTCACCTTAGGCACCCCCTACAATAAGCGTGAGGTTCAACCAACCGAGATCACGGTAGGAAATAATTTATAAAAACTTAAGAGTATCTGAACTAACAAAATCTTCCATATTTTTATTTTAAAGAAATTTGTATTCTACTCTTACAATGCACACGAATTATTCCAATCATTGAATTGCATTGAATTTAAAAGTTCCTCCAGGAGAGTACGACCAATAATAAGCATATTATATGAAATTACCAATAATCATTATAATAATCATATAATAATTATATGTCTTTACAGGATGAGTACACGGTAAATACCAATTTGACAAACTGCATTACTGCTTTAAAAACTAAACTATTCTTTGAAAATCTGAATTACTCTTTCAAAAACTGCATTCATCTTTTTAAAACAAACTTACTCTTTGAAAAACTAAATAACTCTTAAAAAATCTATATTACTCTTAAAAACTGAATAACTCTTTGAAAATGTGCGTTACACTTTGAAAAACTGCGTTAATCTTTGAAAAACTGCATTACCTTTTGAAATGTTGCACGACTCTTTGAAAAACTGTATCACTCTCGAGGCGGTTAAAACTGTTTATACTTTAAACTATTTTACTATTATTTTACTATTACACTGCTGATGAAGCTAACTAAAATTTTCATTCGAAACGTTGTAATCGTACTTATCGTTGTAATCTTTTTAGTCGTTGTAATCATCGTAATCACTTATAATTTTACCTGTAATCTTTGTAATCGTTGTAATAATTGTAACATTTGTAGTTGCTGTACCTTAATTCTCCGTATTCGCAGGACGAGATAGGACCCGACAATATCGAGATGGGACCACAGTTAGAATTTATAGGAGAGCTTTACGATATGACTCGAGCCCTCGGCAAATCAGTGAGTGTTGAGTTTATTTATTCATTAATGTTGTAATATTTATTAACTTATAGTAATATAACGTCTGAACTTATAAACTTACAGATTTAAAATTATGTAAACTAAAAAATGTGCAAACCTTATAAACTTATGATTTTACAAACTTACTAATTCACTAATTTACAAAGTTAAAAACCTACAAACTTACAAACCTCATAAACTTACAAACTTAAGGCATTATTATTCAAAAGCACCCCAACCTTCATTAAGTCATAATAACCAGAAAAGATTTATAACGTATTAAAGTAATATTAAAGATTTTGTTTCTTTTTTTAAACTGTTAAAAACAATTTAGTTTCACCTGCCCATTACACATGCTTTCGTCCCATTTACTTTTAAAAGCAGCATCTTGTAGCATATCATTTTAAGATTTTATAACGCGGCATACCCACAGCCTAATTCTCCCCCCTTCCTTAAAATATTTAAATATTTAAATTTTAACACTTTTAACTTTTTTAAAACATTAAGATATTTAAATTGTAACACTGTTAACTCTTTTAAAACATTAAAATATTTAAATAAAGCAACAACCTTCGCAGCGAAGTAAACTTATCATCTGCAACGTCACGATGAACCCATTTTGCTGAACCTAAGATTATATTTCAAAGTAATGCACGATGTTTGCAGGACCTAAAATAATATTTCGTTAATTACGACCAAAGATTATTTCAACTTATTATTTCAACTCGAATTATGTCAACTTCCATACATTTAAACAAGGTGGTATTCCAGGCTATATTATCGTGCAAAATTAGTGGTGAACCACCTATGAACTTGTACATCATGCACGACCGAATAGCTTCATACAGAAATAAACAGAAAAAGAGGAATCTACCTTCGGAAACGTAAGCTAATTTTGATTTTTGACTTTTGTTAATCTAAAATAACAGAAAAACGCCAGCAAAATTAATTATCGGTTTTTTCAATATCATCTAACATATATTCTACAGTATTTTATTCAATAATTTCTTCAATATTTTCTTGAGCATTTTCTAAAGCATGACTTACTTCAGGATCTACGACCCAGCGAAACCTAACGAATTATCTGTAATCTACAGACTTGATAACTTGCAAGGAAAACACGAAGGTGTTTACAAGTAAGTGGATAAAAATAAAACACCTCCGCAAGCAATAATAAAGCTGCTATTTTCGTAACTTCCTGCTTTCATTATAACTGTATTATAACTATTGTAACTTCATTATAATTACTGGTATTTCCAGTAAACAACGTTAAGACTTATATGAGAAGTCAATATAACTTCCTCTTTCATATGATAGTCATTCCTGATTCCAGTAAAATAGGGTCGCAATTATCACGTCCGGCTTCAAAATAAAATACCAAGTTGTCTAGTTTACCTGCAAAAACACCCTCGCAAGCAATAACAGCAATTCCATAAGTCTAGAAATAATGAAGTAAGGAGTCCAACCAACCCGACCTAATTGCATCAGACGGCCATGAAGTTTAACATAATCCCTGAACATGATTCCATGGCCCGGCTCTACTGAACCTCCCATCTTTATATAAAAAGGCCGTAAATTTGCATTGTTGTTTATTAAAACACTTTTTGTTTTCGATAAAAACCAACAAAACCTTGATTTATACCTACCTCCTGATTAGTCAATGCGACTTTACACTAATTGGAACCAACTTACCAACCGAGGAGTTATTTATCATTCTAGATTATCAATATTACCCTTTACTTACAATATTACACTTTACTTTGAGTCTTTGGTAAGGTAAACTTAATATTTGATATTAACTTTCCGCAGATGCCAAGGAGAGTCGATTAACGGACAGATTTCAATATCAGCTATGACTTTAACCCTTGTAGGTAAGTCACTACTACTATACTAAAAGTATTGCTAATACTTTTCGGTCTGAACTAAGTCTGATCTACAGAGTACAGATAAGCCCCTCCATATATCCCTGTCCCACATCAGAGTTCGCAGTTCCCCTTTAGAGTTTGTCCCATCTTCCTTCATATCAGCAACATAGACAAATAGCTTTGCTGTGCTCTATAACCGTGCAAAGGTTCCAATAAGACTTAATCACTAGCCGGTAGCTCAGGATGTCTGTATCTTTGAATAACACGTCAGGCCAATGTATTATTAGTAACAATGTATTGAACATTTAAATTTGTATCGAAGATATTTAATTCACTGCTCCTAAGTTGATATGATCCCCTATTTAATTCACTGCTCCTAATTGATATGATCCCCTTCTCTACGCTCCACAATCTCTGCTAAGTTGATATGATCCCCTTCTCTACGCTCCACAATCTCTGCTAAGTTGATATGATCCCCTTCTCTACGCTCCACAATCTCTGCTAAGTTGATAAGATCCCCTTCTCTACGCTCCACAAATCTTTGCTAAGTTGATATGATCCCCTTCTCTACGCTCCACAATCTCTGCTAAGTTGATATGATCCCCTTCTCTACGCTCCACAATCTCTGCTAAGTTGATATGATCCCCTTCTCTACGCTCCACAATCTCTGCTAAGTTGATAAGATCCCCTTCTCTACGCTCCACAATCTCTGCTAAGTTGATATGATCCCCTTCTCTACGCTCCACAATCTCTGCTAAGTTGATAAGATCCCCTTCTCTACGCTCCACAATCTCTGCTAAGTTGATAAGATCCCCTTCTCTACGCTCCACAAATCTTTGCTAAGTTGATAAGATCCCCTTCTCTACGCTCCACAATCTCTGCTAAGTTGATATGATCCCCTTCTCTACGCTTCACAAATCTTTGCTAAGTTGATATGATCCCCTTCTCTACGCTCCACAATCTCTGCTAAGTTGATATGATCCCCTTCTCTACGCTCCACAATCTCTGCTAAGTTGATAAGATCCCCTTCTCTACGCTTCACAATCTTTGCTAAGTTGATATGATCCCCTTCTCAACGCTCCACAAATATATACATACATACATGGAATGGCAAACAAATAACCGTGACTTATAATACATTTTGAGGTTCCAGTCATATAGTAGTGTCTAAATTTAGACTCTGCAAAAGAGATCTACAAAAGAGATCTGTTCAAAAGACTTGAAATAACTTTGCAAAAAACAGTTAGTCTCTTAAATTTCATCACAGTCTGACATTCCATGATTTGACGTCTGTACAAGAATACAAACTATTGAGTTGAACACTTTTGACGGTCAAAATCTGTTAATCCAGTGGATTTCCTGATCTAAACGGTCTTGCGATCCTGATTTAATTAAACGTCTCTCCCTCTGAGTTGAACGCATTTACTGACAGAGGTGATGAAATAACCTTGTTAAAATTTACGGACAAATCTAAATATTACAATGACCATGACCTTGAAACACAATACCCCTGCAAGTTGCACTAAAGGAAAATTATGGTATTACCGGCTGTTGATCAATGTATGAATTATATGCTTTCCATATATAATATACTGTTATTGAATGAATCTATATCGACTTAAAATAAATAACCCACCGATTGATGTAAACTACTGAACTATGACAAAGGAAGTATTGATACATTTTAAAAATCATATTATCCTTCTACCGCGGTTTCAGTAAAGTGTCATGGAGGAGGGGCTTTTGGATACAGAAATATTCAGCACTAGGCATTGGAAATATTTATAATTTCCAGGTTCCACAAACAAATAGTTCACTTATTACACTTATTTGACCCCTTTTTTCCCTTAGATCCATGTGAAGGAGTGGAATGTGGATTCAGGGAGCAGTGTGTCAACGTCAAGGGAAATGGTATCTGTACCTGCGACTTCCCTTGCGGGGAGACGTACGAACCAGTGTGCTCTGATGGCATCACTTTCGGAAGGTATGTCGGTGGGGGAGCTATTTCTAAAATGTAGTATAGTATTAGTATTTTTGGAATGTAGTATAGTTTACTTACGCGGAAGGTATGTTGATGATACTGATAGAGTGATAGAGGAGTCTGAGGATTTGGCTAACTTTCATTTATTTTGATTCTAAAGAAAAGTTAATTTGTCAGCCTCGTTCCAGGCACATCCATTCCATTGTATCGATCAAAGTATAAACAGTTTCTTACTGTTCTGACGTCAGGAGAAGCGTTGGAAACGTCCCAAAAGAGCGATGTAAACTAACAATACCCCTTTCAGTATGTGTCATCTTGAGAGATCAGAATGTAGAAAGGGGGCGTATGCAAAGGAGATTTCTACAGGAGCCTGCGCCGATGTCGAAGGTGAAAATTTGTCAAAATCTGTCACTCTTCAAGTCATCTGTGACTCCATGAATGAAGAATTTCTCCAAACTTTTTACAAAATACTATATCCACCGTTCACCAAGTTTGAATAGGGTTGAATTATTGAACTATGTTTCTTAACTCGTCCTGACATGGTAAGTAAGTTCCATGGCTAGATATCAGTTATATCTGTTTGATAGCTATTTACTCGGCAGAGCCTCACCACAAATATTTTACTTTCAGATCTACCTACCGAGGGAACCTGTACCCTATCTGGAGAAGGACATGTTTCTAAATTCAACGGAGACTTTTTCACTTTCAAAGGTTGATTACCATAAAACTAACTAATTGTAATTAGTATTACACAACGGTTTTAATTTATTTGAGAGTTGAGAAGAAAGGTTTTTCCTCAGTTAACCAACAACCATTGGTCGAATAAAAATTATCTTCACTGCCAAATTATAGGAGCTAAGGCGGGTCTGTAGGTCTCTTGATCGGAGGCTAAGTTTAAAGTTCCCTCTGTAACATACAACCTAATAATTCCAGGAATAATTCATAATTCAATTTCAAGGAATAATTCCGGTAATTCCAAATAAATGGACTATGACATATTTCTATATCTGAACATATCTGTGGACTAATGGTAATACAGACCTGATTTCGTCACTTTTCTCTCTGAGCACTGAGCAGTATATGACGTGATAGTATGTGATATTTATAAAAAGCATTTCTCCCTACGCAGAAGGCACGAAATTCCTGCATAGTTACAGGTTCTGGTTATAATATTTTCCGGGAATTATTTCCCCGAAAAGTTGTGGCCACGACTTTTCGGTTTACCAGTTATCGGTTAACCGATAATAACCGATAATTTCCCGCAAGGGTTGGAAGAGTATAATGAGGACAGATTGTGAGTCTGTCCTCAGACTCGCAGTCTGTCCTCAGTGGCACATTATATATTACACACTATATTGTGTTTTAATCAGAATAGGGAAAAATTATAACAAATAATACCTAATTGGCTTAGTTTCGTACTCGGGCTCGCCCTCCGCTAAAGCGTCGGGCATTATCGCCCGAGGCACTCAACAGCCAAGGTATTATTGTATTATGAAGCCAGAGATCCGATTACAGCTAAAAGTTCCGATATTTTGCAGGGTCGTATAATGATATGAAAACGTAATGATAAGTAGGACGACCATATAAACAGCGTTATATCCTTCAAATATAACGCTGATTTATGGAATATTATGAATTAACTGGCTTGCTACTGATGTAATTTTAAACAAAACATTACTTTTGCACTCTGTCTGCGTGGCAGTCCAGGACTTTCTTGACCTGCAGTTTGAATTCCTGTTAGCCTCTGTAATTTACAGTTACAGGGAAATATCTGACACTTTTAATAGGAGAAACTATGATATAATAGGAGAAACTATGATATAATAGGAGAAACTATGATATAATAGGAGAAACTATGATATAATAGGAGAAAATATGAAAAACTATGCTATAATAGGAGAAACTATGATATAATAGGAGAAACTATGATATAATAGGAGAAACTATGATATAATAGGAGAAACTATGATATAATAGGAGAAACTATGGTATAATAGGAGAAACTATGATATAATAAGAGAAACTATGGTATAATAGGAGAAACTATGATATAATAGGAGAAACTATGATATAATAGGAGAAACTATGATATAATAGGAGAAACTATGATATAATAGGAGAAACTATGATATAATAGGAGAAACTATGATATAATAGGAGAAACTATGATATATTAGGAGAAACTATGGTATAATAGGAGAAACTATGATATAATAGGAGAAACTATGATATAATAGGAGAAACTATGATATAATAGGAGAAACTATGGTATAATAGGAGAAACTATGATATAATAGGAGAAACTATGGTATAATAGGAGAAACTATGGTATAATAGGAGAAACTATGATATAATAGGAGAAACTATGATATAATATGTTCATATGTAAGCCTCTTGATTATATAATAGGAGAAACTATGATATAATGGGAGAAACTATGATATAATAGGAGAAACTATGATATAATAGGAGAAACTATGGTATAATAGGAGAAACTATGATACTTGTTACTTCGTAAGCATGATCTAGTGGGCTGGTGTTACGGCTACGGTAAAGCAGCTATAAGTATAAAGCTGACATACAGATTTGCTTGATTGAGGTGCATACTTTCATAGATACATTCGAGATATGACAAAAATTATAATGTAAGATGTTCATGTTATCGATCTGGTTCAATTAGGTTATTGGTATATCATTATCTCTAATTTATTATCACAACCCTGCAGAATATCGCGATCGGAACTTTAGCTGTAATCGGATTGCTGGCCTATAACTATGCAGGAATTTCGTGCCTTCTGAGTAGGGAGAATTTTTTAAAAAATCATATACCTACTGCTCAGTGCTCAGAGAGAAAAGTGAAGAAATCAGGTCTGTATTACCATTAGTCCACAGATATGTTCAGATATAGAAATATGTCATAGTCCATAAATCAGGGCAAATATAATTGAACTTATTAGGAGCTGTGGAAACTTAGCCTCCGATCAAGAGACCGGACGGCCTACGGGCTTGACTTAGCTCTTATACTTTGGCAGTGAATTTGGCTGTGAAGATAGTTTTGGTCCAACCAATGGTTGTCGGTTAACTGAGGAAAAAACCTCCCTTCTCAACTGTCAAATAAATTAAAACCGTTGTGTAATTACAATTTTATCATTATCTCTAATTTATTATCCGAAGTGCAAAGCATTAAGATATAGAATATCAAGTAGTGAAAATTACCACAGACACAAATGCAGAATGCAGATCTTAAACGTAGTATGTGACTATGTGCAATAGCCGATATCACAGCTCTTGTAGATGTTAAACATTTTATAGTAAAATGTATAATATCCAATAGCTGTTTCACTTTCAAAGGTTGATTACCATACAACTAACTAATTGTAATTAGTATTACACAACGGTTTTAATTTATTTGAGGGTTGAGAAGAAAGGTTTTTTCCTCAGTTAACCAAAAATCATTGGTTGGACAAAAATTATCTTCACAGCATGCCAAATTATAGGAGCTGAGTCAAGCCCGTAGGTTTAGAGGTTAAGCTTCTACAGCTCCTAAAGTTCTAATAAGTTGAATCATTTTCCCTGATTTATGGACTATGAAATATTTATATATCTGAAAATGTCTGTGGACTAATGATAATACAGAACTAATTTCTTTATATATCCCTCTGATCAGTATGTGATATTATTATTAAAAAGAAAAGAACATTTCTCCCTACGCATAAGGCACGAAATTCCTGCATAGTTACAAGCCAGAAATCCGATTACAGCTAAAGTTCCGATATTCTGCAGGGTTATAATGATATGAAAATATGATGATATAAATCAAGAGGCTTGCATATAATCTAGGAAAATCATAATTAGATCATAGAAACTGTGGATATCCTTCAAATGATTGGGCGACATCTGTCCGAAAGCGACATCTGTCCGAAAGCTGAATTAGGGATTTCGGACAGATGTCGCTGTCGGACAGGAGTCGTTTTTGGCGACATCTGTCCGAATTTCGGATCATATTGTAATTTAGGTTCACATTCGCATTTCACAAGCTCACAGGTAATCTCGTGACGTTCTAAAGCTGATGTGATCCCTTAAGATCTGATCCATCGATACGTGATTGACTAGTTGAGAACAGGATCGTGCTAGCCGTACCCTAACAAGCTGTCGATCACATCACAGGACATGAGTACATATAGGACAGCAGTATGGAGATCACTTATCGCAATCCACAATGGCAACCAAACTTGAAAAGAAAGGCTTCTGGTGGAGATCAACCGACGAAATACCTCGTATCTGAAGCAATCGGTGGATTGGGTTACGAATCTAGAGCAAAGCTTGGCTGCCAGCTGTCATCCCTCAACAGAATGGTACAGAGAAGCAGAAAAGCAGCTAACAGACACCCTTCTAACCCGAGAGATCTGGAAACGCTCTCCATTCCTGCAAACTACATCCTCTCTACCGACAACGAACCAATGATGCTCTGGGACTCTGGATGGGACGAACGGACTCGTCGATCTTTCCTTTGGGGGACTCCTAAGAACGCAGATCATATGGTGGACGCGGAGCATTGGGTAGTCGACGGTACCTTCAAATCCGCCCCTAATCTCTTCCATCAGCTCTTCACAGTCCATGGCCTCTTCCCTGACGGCTGGCACCTCCCCCTCTTCTATGGACTCCTTCCTGGAAAAACGACGACCCTCTACCGCAACCTGTTCGAGGAGATAGACACCTGGGCTTCTGGGGGCTACCAACCACAATCCATCCTCATGGACTACGAGCTCGCCATTCACAACGCAGTTGCTTCCGTGTGGCCCTCCACTACCAGACGAGGATGTAACTTCCACTACAAGAAAGCCCTCCTGAAGCATGTAAAGCAGACCAACATCTGGGAGGAGTACCTGACTCCAAACTCTCCTGTTCGGGATTTCTTCGCGATGACTGGAGCTATTGCCTACGTACCGGAGACTGACGTCCCTCGAATCTGGAGACACCTGAAGCCCCTCCTTCCTATAGACATGGCTGAGTTTGCTTCATACTACGAAAACACTTGGATCGGGACATCAGATGATTACGACAACTACAGCAACCCTATGGATTTCCTTAAAGCTATCGGAAATTTGACTATGCTTTAGATTTGATTCTGTGATATTGTATTATATTGAATTAATTTATAACATTTAAATAACATTGAAACTATTGTCGTTGTGGAACACAACAAGAAAATTGAGAATAATCTTGTGCGAGGGTAGGGACCCAGATGTCGTTTCTAACCCAAATAAACTTTAAGGAGGCTTCTCATCAGTAGCCGCACCTCCTTACTCGGTTTCTGAACTGGAATTCTATGGGCTTCCAGACGGCCAGACCGAGTATTACCACCCCATCCTTCTAGAGTTCATCACAAGTAGCACCCACCTTGAAGATCTTTGACACCCAGACACACCCCATTGGCGAACAAACTTTGGATATAATCTTACATGCTCCCGAAGGAATCCCTGGTTTATGGTCTTTCTCATCGTCACCAGCACTTTCACTAGAGTCACCAGCCCTTTCACTGGAGTCATCAGCCCAATCACTGAAGTATACAGAAGTATAGTTGTGGAACACAACAAGAAAATTGAGAATAATCTTGTGCGAGGGTAGGGACCCAGATGTCGTTTCTAACCCAAATAAACTTTAAGGAGGCTTCTCATCAGTAGCCGCACCTCCTTACTCGGTTTCTGAACTGGAATTCTATGGGCTTCCAGACGGCCAGACCGAGTATTACCACCCCATCCTTCTAGAGTTCATCACAAGTAGCACCCACCTTGAAGATCTTTGACACCCAGACACACCCCATTGGCGAACAAACTTTGGATATAATCTTACATGCTCCCGAAGGAATCCCTGGTTTATGGTCTTTCTCATCGTCACCAGCACTTTCACTAGAGTCACCAGCCCTTTCACTGGAGTCATCAGCCCAATCACTGAAGTATACAGAAGTATAGTTCATCGACATCAAATTAAAATAAACTGTCGACATCAAATTAAAATAAACTGTGGTAGTAAACTATGGCTCAGATCATATCTCAAATTGGACATGTTACGTATACAATTTAGCAAGTAACAGTTTAGATCATGTCTCTAATTGGAAATGTGTCGTATTGAAATCAGGTCACAATTTCGGACAGATGTCGTTTTTTTCTGGTACCCTGATTCGGACAGATGTCGCTTTCGGACAGATGTCGCTGTCGGACAGGAGTCGTGTTACCCCTTCAAATATAACGCTCATTTATGAATATGGGATATGAATTAACTGGCTTGCTACTGATGTAATCGTAAACCGGAAATTACATACTTCGTTTAGGAAATGCATTTGTGTTTGCAGTGATTCGGTTAAGGCTAAAGTGAGAATACAGTTTGGGGTTTATAAGCTCATGTTCGCGGGTTCTATATCTGAATTTTTACCGAAAATGTTAACGGGTGATACAATAATGACTTTAATATATAATACTCGTACGATATTTATTTGAAATATTAAGATCGTCGATGAGTTCAACGTATGTTATAAAGTATAAACCTACAAAGAAAATGTCGCTTCAAGATGTAAAATGTGATACCACCACCACTAACGGTACACCATATAATATACTAATGGTTCTACCTCAGGTGGTTGCCCGTACAAGATGGTGGAGGATACCCGAGGAGGAACATTCATTGTTTACGCTATGACGGAAATGTGCGGAGATACCAACCAAGCTATCTGTCTCAGGTGTGTTGCACGTGATAAGTATACTGGGCTCTGATTGGTTGGTTTGTTCCACGTGATAAGTATACTGGGCTTTGATTGGTTGGTTTGTTTCACGTGATAAGTATACTGGGCTCATATTGGTTGGTTTGTTCCACGTGATAAGTATACTGGGCTCTGATTGGTTGGTTTGTTCCACGTGATAAGTATGCTGGGCTCTGATTGGTTGGTTTGTTCCAAGTGCTAAGTATACTGCAACTGGGCACTGATTGGTTGGTTTTTTTTTCACGTGCTAAGTATATTTCTTATTTCAGATCTGTTACGATCTATGTAGACCGTATTTACGGTTTCTCTATCGAGCGAGGATGGGTCATAAACGACAACGGACGAAGGAGGAACGTGATGAACGGAGAGAGGATCATTCTGGGAGGAGGAGCTGTTTCTATTACCAGAGATGGCAAAACTATGGTGGGAAAGATCGAGAACAAACAGATTGAGTTCTTCTACGATGGTCTCAACTACTTCAAACTGTCTGTCCCTCTTGACTTTGTTTCGGTAAGTAGCTGATCAGGGCACCTTTTTATCAAGAGATTTATTGTAGTGTGTCGTTCGTTTTATGACGTACATGAAAGAGATTGATGAATTTATTTTAACTTCTAAACAACTCTGGTATAACTATAACAGTGAAACCTCGATTTATCCAGTCAAATTTAAACATGCGTCTTCCTGAAGGTAAATCAAGCATTACGATTAAATTACGGTTAACTGCGCTGTAGTATAGATTAGCAACCAGCTACAAACGACCATGTTTTACTTACAGTGTAAGTATAAAACGTGTAAGTTACATTTTCATTTCCAGAAACATGACGATTTTGCCGGGTTCTGCGGACCAATCCCTGTGGACTACGTACCAGGTGTAGGACGAGACATCAGTACCGTGGAAGATATTCCCATGCCTGGTAAGTCAGATGTATATTTCTTATCTCCTTCTGTAATGAATCATAAGTTTCTCGACAGCAACCTTCCTGGATTGAAGAAACAACCATTTTGCAACTCGCATCGCGGTTATATAGTTAGGTCTTGTTCAATTTCTCAGCCTTTCCTTTCAGCTCTTGGAAGTGAAGAACTGTGCAAACCCGAGTTTGGAGCACCAGTATGTTCGGATCCCGAAATACCCTCTCAAGTCAGACAAGCGTTCATGGAAAAGTAAGTTCGCTGATATCAATCCTTACTATAAGAGTCCTGTCTTTATTACGCTGCTCGGTCAAAAATTTACAGTCCCAAATTATGTTTTTAAAGAATTATACAATACACTAATTTTCAATCGTAACAAATAATTTGTAACTTCAGAAAAATACACGGAACAAATTATATAATCAACTCTTTTCCAATCTTAACAAATCGTCTTTCAGTGATGAAATAGCACCCTGCACTACAATAATCCCCGTTGACCTCTACCTGGAGCAAGCTATACAAGACACGTGCGGATGTGACATGAAGAATGGCCACAACTACTGCTTCTGCAACATACTCTACTCGTATGCTGAAGACTGTCGACAGGCTGGGGTGGACATTGACTTTGCTAAAGTCGGTGATCACTGCGGTAAGTTGTAGTCCATATCTCAAACAATAACGACTGCATGCACTTTTGTATCTAGTGATGACAAGTCCCGAATTTAACATTTTTGGTTTCTGGTAGAGGTGCGGCGGCTCCAATCAATCAAGATGTGCCCTATCCTAAATTAATGAGTACATAGCTTAAGGGTTCAAGTTCATAATTTGTTTGCTGTTTCAGAAAAATCATACCACAAAGACGTATTCAAATCTGAGGGAATCAGCTACAACCGTGAGTTATACTATTGTATAAATGCTACATACCTTGAGCAATTAATTTTACTTGACCCGCGGCCGTCATTGACTGTCGTAGTTTTGAGTTTATTTACAAATCTTAAATATATTTGCCCTTAGATTATTCCATATCCCCGACTAAAATGATAACCAATTACAGGAAGACGATGGTATTATCAGCACAAAAAGAGGGGACATTAACCGAACATTACAAAGTAGTGTAAACCTCCTTAAAGACCACCAATATTACCTTATCATCGCCATTCCTGCAAATGCAGACGAAGATTACCAGCCAAAATCTAAAACGCTAAAAAGTAATAAAACTCAACATCAGTTAATGGAAAGCAACAATTTTAACGTTTTTAAAGGTTTTTAAACTTTTTATTTACATTAAATGGGGGCGATGAATTTACATTTGATGATGTGAAGAAAGGAATTAAAAATAAACTATATAAAATTAATGTATTTGGAAAACTATTACATTTTTCAAATAATCGTGAAGAGGCAAGAGCCGGTTGAAAATTGTGGTTGTATGCAGTTAAGTTTTACATTTTGCTGTACGTTTTGTTATATATGATCATTGACCGTATAAAGACTACCAAGGCTCCCATGCTTTGTGCAAATAGTTTCATACTTTAAGCATATTATCGGCCATCGCTTATCTAGGTAAATTTACATTATTTATTTGTAATTTAATTTGTTTTCACGAATTCGCAACTGAATAGATTGATAGGAGCATTTAAGGATTTTATATATTATGTACATACCGTATGGTTGAACACAGTGGCGTCACATAAGCTTGGCTATCTCGGCTACAGAAATCGACCTCGTATTTTTAATGGAAGATAGAACCCCACTTTTCAGGTAATATTAAATATTCCATCACAGTTACGCCACTGGTTAATCAACTGTACCCGAATACGCGTCCTCATATATCGGTCCAACTACGGCAACTACTAGTCGAAAGTTTGCATAAACTTTTAGATGTTGCAATGACTAGTAGCCGGTGAAAAGTTTATCAAAGTGACTAATTTTAAAATATATGAGGACCTATCTGGGGTATGTACAGTATGGGAATCTTTGTATATACTATATAGTATCATTAATAAATAGGTTATTAAATTGAGAGAAAGAATGTAGATGAGAACAAAAGCCGGGGACGGGTTATTTTACAGTTTTGTTATTTCAAATGAAAAATATATCATCCAAATTTTACGGTTCATTTAAATTTCTTATTATTATTTGGAAATCTAAATTCAATACATAGTACAGACAGATCCGTCCGAAGAAATCGGTTTGCCGGCACAACGAGCTTACAAAATATTTGTTGTCTTTGAGCCACTATTTACCACCTTTCTTATTTGTCAAATAGATCTTCAAATTTAATATAGAATTAAGCTGGGCCTCTGCATGATACTGGATACGTCGGATTAGGCCCTTAAAATGTCTCCTCCAGATCCAGTCCTTAAATTGGACATAACCCAAAGGCTGAAGTAGCTCTGGCCTCTGATACATCGGAATAGAACCTAGTGAAAGACTGGCCTCCAGCACGCCATTTTTGAGATTCAACCATGGATCGAGGATGTTTAACTTTAAGGTGCAGGATGTTCAGCGTGACAAATAAAGGTTTAACTTTAACCTTAAATTGGACATAACTCACTAGCTGAGCCTGAACTAGCTCTGACACGTCGAATTAGAACCTAGGTAAGACTGCGGCCTCCAGCTTGCCATTTTTAAGATACGAGCACAAAGTAAATCGAGGATGTTTCAAGGGTGCGAGATGTTCAGCTCAAAAATACCGGTGGAAATTTGTTGAGGCCCTAAAATGACTCGTCCAGATCCAGTCTTAACCTTAAAAGCTTAAATTAGATATATATATATATATATATATTATATATATTATATATATATAATAACTCACTAGCTGAAGTATTAGTAACTCTGATACATCGGATTAGAACCTGTAACTGTAAGACTGACCTCAAGCTCGCCATTTTTGATATTCAAGCAAATCAAGGATGTTCCAAGGGTGCAGGATGTTCAGCTCGACAAAATAACGGTGGAAATTATTTTAGAGGCCCTAAAATGACTCCTGCAGATCCAGTCTTAACCTTAAATTGGACATAACTCACTAGCTGAAGTAGCACCCCTAACTACCTGCAATATATAGTCCCTTGGCATCTCAACCTTTTCGGAGTTTATTTGAACGGACATCAATTGTAGTTGTACGCTAAATGCCCTAGCGATCTTGTGCAGCCGCTATTTATATTACCAATACCATATGCCCAATTAAAAGCCAGGTCTTCACCAACTAAGAATATAGGATCGCCTCCCAAATTATCAGCGTCATCAGCAATTGGATCCTGGATTCGCCCTCCTTGAGTAATGATTTTTCTGCCTGCAGCTTGGGTTCATGTTCTTAATCTTAAGCCCAAACAACCTGAACAAAGTAATTTATTATGTAATCTTTTAACTCTTGTTTTGAAACAAGTTTACAGTCAATTTCAGGCAGAGCTAGGCCTAGTTCTCAGAAATAAAATGTAGCTATGCTACCTTATAAAAAAAGGTAAGGGATCGCCCGGAAATTTTAAACTTGACTTTGCTGGATCTGCACACTCATGTACTGATCTGTAGACAATCGTCTGAACTTTTTCTTAATTTTAGAATTTTGTGTTGATGTACCTCAAAACCCATAATTTAGGCCGTTATTTAAAGGGTCGATTCCATACTTGGTTAGATTTACGAACTCGATCCAAGGATTAAGGGATTTATGTGTAATTTTTTTGGTGAATTTTTTCTGAAATTATTCTTTATATTAAATAGTGCACAGCTCTTCAAGCGATAGCGAAACATATAGAAAACTATAGATTTTATAAAAGCTCTCTTTCTCCTCTTACTGACGCAATAGAATATACTCGGGCGGACTCATCCCGGAATTCAGGGGAAGCAGCCGAAGGCTTCAAGTCCAATAATCCACATTTTTCTCGTGATTATCGACGAAATTTAACTTCTTTCGGACTTCATTTTCAGACTGAACTGTAGTATGAAGGACTATCTCTCGAATGATCAAGACTCCATAGGAAACTGATCCTCAGAAGTCAAGTAATGATCGTTTCTAAAAGCTTGGGTAAGCCAAAATTTTACGCAAAATTGTCTACGCGCCAATAATTATTAATTATGACACCCTGCTGTATAATTATATCGTCATACGTCAGAGACTTGACATCGCCATGCACATTATATCGCCATGTGATTCATAAAATAGTAATTAGTATACCGTTTCTGTAGCTCTGTAAAATTTTCGTCGAAACTGACAACAATCCTTTCGAGAATTTTGTCGTATCTCCTCCATTTCACATGCACTCGTTTGCGACACCGATGTGCCCACGTGCTTATTACAAAGTCTGAAATATATTGCGCGCGCGGATCTCGACTCGCACGTAACAATTAGCAATTTACCGATTCTTTTGCATTTTGTGTCTTTTGTCATTTCTTTGTTGTTATCGCGTGCTCCGTGCGCCGTACAAAAATTTATGTACAAAAGCACATTTTGATGCAAATTTTGCCCCGTCTATTATACCTATAGTGGCAATATTTTTTTGATATAAACAGCAACTATCGAGTTAAGGCGCCCATTCCGAAAATCGATAAACTGATCTTTAATAAATGGTTTCTTTAACGCTGAGAGTTGTGCACGACGTCTTTTATTTCAGGTCATTAGACTCATTACTATAAGTATATGGTATGCCACAAATGTAAAATGCAAATGTTGCATGTCTGTTTGTTTTCATATACCTTATCGGACGTTATTTGACCGGACATACTTTTAACCGGACATTAAAATGAACGCTCAAAAGGCCATCTACTTAGGAGGTCCTCCAAAATTTGAACGGTCATTAAAATGAATGGTAGGGCCTTTTCTAGCGTCCGATTAATGTCCGAAAAGTATTTGCTGATTATTCCCGTTGATGTTAAGGGTTGCTTGGATTTGATTCCCCGCAATCGAATTTTGCTACGTATTCATTCATCATTGATTTGTATGAGCCTTCTTTCCTAGATCTACTAAAATAAACATTGTGATTTTAATTCATCCGAAAGCTTAATTTATAACATTGATTGATCAAATGTTTTGCCCATTACATTAGGATGTGTCCTTTCCAAGAATTAATGGAGAGCTACTTTTAAAACTTGATAGATGTCTTTCGACCGAAAAATGTTACAGATCTACGTTTCATTTTTTGCATTACTGCCGTGCACTATAGCTCAAAATGAAGATATAGATGGTAAGAAAAAACACTTTATTTGAACGAACATTAAAATGAACGCTGAGGCCTCCATCGTCAAATAAATGTCTGTTGAAATAAAGTTCAATAAGGTAAGTACAGTACAATAAAACTCAAATAATTCATTGTATCATGTTGACAGTGTGAATACTCTTCTAAGACTTCAGTAAAACTTTTTCAGGAACTCACATCTCAGTCGAGCCCCCTATGAACAAATGGCCGATAATATGGCATCAAGCAGTCACCATTTCATGCGCGTGGACACCTTTGGATAAACTTCGTAGAAAAGGAAAGGCTGAGGGAGACATATTTGTACAGCAGTTAAATAATGATAGAGAGGTTTCAATATTTGCGGATCCCATCTACGGAGACATGATAAATCTTGAAGGTAACTTTTCTGTGCTATCTGAATCGAAAACTTTTATAATTATATTATGATTGGAAATCATTGAAAATTTCAATGCTTGTCACTTTGTCAGACATATCAAGCATCAAACGATTGTGCGGTTGCTACTATTCATTGCAGTCCATAAACCCCTCTCCCCCTCTCTACCTTAATTCTATTATCGACAGATCCTAAAGAAAGGGTGTACTTTGAGAGTAACAATGAAGCAGGAACATCATTTCTTGTTATAAAGAACGTTACTAAAGAAGACTCTCGTAGATTCAAATGCCGGGTGAATGGCGGTAAAATATCTGACGGGATAACACTTGAAATCCTAGGTAATTCTAGATTATTCCAGGTTATTCTGAATTAACAGTACTACAGTTATACTAAGCGATAGTTTTCATTTCTCCGCGCAAGTTCCAACACAAATTAAGTGTAGTTCTTTAAAGTTTTATTGCATATAATACGTCATTACAACCGAGTTCGTGCCTCATTTAGCAACTGATGAACTTCACAGTCCCTCCTTATAACAGCCTTATTACTTTCTTGCTAAGTTTCATCACTATCACCTCAGAGCCCCCTGTTAAGGAAGTAAGTAATTTTGTAGCATCTCCCGGGTATGATAAGGCGGAGCTATCTTGGGATGCGGTGGTAGGAGCAATCACCTACATTGTAAAATACCAACTTCTTGATGCTCAACAATGGGAAATGGTGAGATTTTAGTATTTTAGATCTTTTTTCTGAGTAAGGTTCTGGATCCAATGAATAATTGGACATTTTGATAGGGCGATAAAGAAAAAAATTGTTTCAAATGTTTTCGGACACCTGATCAGTGATCAGTGATGACCGTTATCAGTAGTCAATGACTAGACAGGGTTATTGAAAATTACAAAGAATAAAATGGCGCCTGGACTTGGGACCAGCTCATAGTACATTACATTAATGCCCTTTGAAAACCATTCTGCTAGCTCAAATTATTTGTTATATAGTATTGTTGAAAGTATTAAGACGTTATGTAGTAACACAAGGTCACGTGACATCGATTCGAATGAATCATGACGGATACAAATGAAAGTCTATTCCAAGGTGGAGGTGGAGAATCCTAATGTTACAATAGAGTATTTAGATCCCGCTACTGAATACAAAGCCTTGGTCTCTGCCTCGAACACTGCTGGAATAAGGGCTAATGTTCTACCTGCTGAGATTGTTTTCAAAACTGGAGGTTTTAAAGGTATGGTACAGTTATAAGTAGAGCTCTAGGTACATAAAGATTTATTTGGTTTTGAAAGTTGATTTACTTGAACAAGTTCTCTGGGTGACCTTGAGGGACTATTCAAAACCATAACCCTAGCCTCTACTCTGACAACAACCCTAGCCCTGATCCAATCCCTAACTGAAGAATTTGCAAATTATCATGTTTTCAGCTCCTTGTTTGGCTGGAAACTTCATGACTAAGACAGGATGTAAGCAATGTGGAGAGAACAGTTACAGTAGTGATGGAGCTTCTTCTTGTATAAGCTGTCCTGATGGCCAAGTTTCAGATGCTGGATCAAAAACGGTTGCTGATTGTTACCATGGTAATAACAATAAATCTAGGGTAGAATCAACTTCTAACTTCAACTTTTTAAAATTTGTATTTTCACTATTCATATATTGACTAGTGATACTGTATGGCCTGCTAAAGAAAAGAAGGGCAGGGCTGCGAACAAATTATCTCAAATATGCTAAAATACCATGAATGTTACAGCACGATGCTCTGCTGGAGACTTCATGACTAAGACAGGATGTAAGCAATGTGGAGAGAACAGTTACAGTAGTGATGGAGCTTTTTCTTGTATAAGCTGTCCTGATGGTACAGCAGCACCTACTGGATCAACATCAGTTGAAGATTGTCAATATGGTATGTGTTTAGTGTGCCAAAAGGACATTTGCATTTTGTATTATGTTTATCATAGTCATACAGGGCGAAAATTATCTAGATTGACTATTTTTCTTTCGAGTCGGATACTTTTTACTAAAGTGTAATATGTTTTCAGCTCCTTGTTCGGCTGGAGACTTCATGACTAAGACAGGATGTAAGCAATGTGGAGAGAACAGTTACAGTAGTAATGGAGCTTCTTCTTGTATAAGCTGTCCTGATGGCCAAGTTTCAGATGCTGGATCAAAAACGGTTGCTGATTGTTACCATGGTAATAACAATAAATCTAGGGTAGAATCAACTTCTAACTTCAACTTTTTAAAATTTGTATTTTCACTATTCATATATTGACTAGTGATACTGTATTGCCTGCTAAAGAAAAGAAGGGCAGGGCTGCGAACAAATTATCTCAAATATGCTAAAATATCATGAATGTTACAGCACGATGCTCCGCTGGAGACTTCATGACTAAGACAGGATGTAAGCAATGTGGAGAGAACAGTTACAGTAGTGATGGAGCTTCTTCGTGTATAAGCTGTCCTGATGGTACTGCAGCACCTACTGGATCAACATCAGTTGAAGATTGTCAATATGGTATGTGTTTAGTGTGCCAAAAGGACATTTGCATTTTGTATTATGTTTATCATAGTCATACAGAGCGAAAATTATCTAGATTGACTATTTTTCTTTCGAGTCGGATACTTTTTACTAAAGTGTAATATGTTTTCAGTTCCTTGTTCGGCTGGAGACTTCATGACTAAGACAGGATGTAAGCAATGTGGAGAGAACAGTTACAGTAGTAATGGAGCTTCTTCTTGTATAAGCTGCCCCCCTGCTCATGTTTCAGCAAAAGGATCTTCATCTTTCGATGACTGTAAACCAAGTAAGCACACGTCATGTTATACTATCCAATATCCAGCATCACCCAACCAAATCCAACTGTCTCGATTCAAAACACCTGGACCTCCCCATTTTTAGGCCCACCTCATTTTTTTGTGAAATTGGTTTTCAAGATGGCAGTTGACCGACAAACTAAGACCCGTGGGCCGTGATCAAACTTTTGATCATTCATACATTGATGTTGTACAGCTTGAAAAAGCAGAGTAGGGGCGGGACTGCGAACAAATCATCTTAAAAACTTAAACCTCCCAAAACATATTACCAGTTACATGCTTGGCTGGAAACTACATGACAGATAGTGGATGTAAGCAATGTGGGGAGAACACTTACAGTGCTGATGGGGCCTCTTCTTGTATAAGCTGTCCCAACGGCAAATTCTCTGCCGAAGGCTCTACGTCTAACAATGACTGCGGTAACTTTTGCGATCACACATATCTTACAATTCAAACCTAGCATTTTTATTCGATAATATTATTTAAACGGGTTTCTATGATTTTTGAATTAAAAACCTGCAGCCCTAATTTTGATATGAAATCATTTTACAACATAGAGGTGATTTTTATAAATTTCCAGAAAGCCGCGACACTGACAAACCTGACATCTCAATCCAACCATCTGTGGAGAATGGACCAATAATATGGCATCAAACTGTTGTCATATCTTGCTCGTGGCCACTTCATGCGCTTCATGAAGATAGAGAACCAGAAATATTTGTGCAACGAAGAGATAACTTTATATATATAGAAAGTGATATCATTTTGAATAAAACCATCTCGCTGAAAGGTGATCTATTTGCATTAGATGATTTTTAACAGTAAATATTGTTCGCACGTTGTGAATTTTAAAATCAAGTTTTGAATATCAGTTAAATACATGCAGAATACTTTCCCTTTGCTCCAACCCCTAACCTGATTCTTATTTTTAATAGATCCAGAGCAGCGGTGTAATTGTATAATACTTTCCCTTTGCTCCAACCCCTAAACTGATTCTTATTTTCAATAGATCCAGAGCAGCGGTGTAATTTTATAATACTTTCCCTTTGCTCCAACCCCTAAACTGATTCTTATTTTCAATAGATCCAAAGCAGCGGGTGTAATAGTATAATACTTTCCCTTTGCTCCAACCTCTAACCTGATTCTTATTTTCAATAGATCCAGAGCAGCGGGTGTATAATACTTTCCCTTTGCTCCAACCCCTAACCTGATTCTTATTTTCAAAAGATCCAGAGCAGCAGGTGTAATTGTATAATACTTTCCCTTTGCTCCAACCCCTAAACTGATTCTTATTTTCAATAGATCCAGATCAGCGGGTGTAATTGAATAATACTTTCCCTTTGCTCCAAGTTCCAACCCCTAAACTGATTCTTATTTTCAACAGATCCAGAGCAGCGGGTGTATTATGAAGTCAACAAGGAAGAAGGAACATTAGTTCTTGTTATCAAGAATGTCACTAAGGAAGACTCAGGAACCTTCATGTGTTGGATGTATCGTGGCAAGAGATCTGACCTGGTGAAAGTGGATATCTTAGGTAGATAATAAATTAACTACCTAAATAATTATATTTTTGGTGCGAAAAGATTGCACTGTCTTTCAAGCCGTGAGAATATTCTTGGTAATTCGCCAAACCAGCCCAATGTACCTTAATTAGACTTTTTGGTCGGACATTATGTGGGTGCTGGAATTTCCACCTAAATTAAACTCCGTTTTAAAACATTCGGTTACACATATTACGTTCTAAGAAAATATTGCGCCCATTATTTTTTCCGTCTACGTAATGTTCGCCCAAATAAGGTCCAATTATAGGGTACTTCATTTTTGGACAATAAACCTGATCACAATCCCATCTCAGAGCCCCCGATGAGTGTAACCAATCTGGTAGCCACTCCCGCAGAAGATACCGTTAAGTTGACTTGGGATGCTGTTGGACGGGACACAACCTATACTGTACAGTACAAACCTAATGATGCTGAAGAATGGACGGAGGTGAGATTTTAGTGTTCGAGACGTTTTTATAGTTTTCGAGAAGTTTCTATATAGTGTCCGAGAAGTTTCTGTAGTGTTCCAGAAGTTTTTATAGTTTTCGACAAGTTTCTATATAGTGCAGTGTCCAAGATTTTTCTTTAGTGTTCAAAAACTTTACAGTTAGTCAAAACTATTTTCAGTTGTGTACAAGCTGTTTTTAATCCCATTTGGCTGATTTGCTAACCGATGTACAGTATGTGTGCTGTTTTTATGGTATTATGAGCAGAACTGTGCAAATCCCGATGGTTGTCAAGTTGGCAGTCCTAATTTCAAGTCTAACTTCAGGTCCATTCGGTGTTATCTCATCTTAAAATAGAGCATCTCATCCCCGCAACTGAGTACATAGCTAGAGTCTCCGCTGCTAATTCTGCCGGGATCAGAGATGGACTTGTTCCTGTTGAAATAACTTTCTTTTCAAAAGGTCAGTCGAGTGGTTTTCTTACAGAAAAAAAGAGGCTATTGCAAATTTCGTGGAGTGGTCTTGGTGCCCTTTGGTGAGTTCGATTCCTTATAACAATTTGCTTAAAATTTGGCGAATAAACGGTCGCGTTTAAGAAATCTCTTTGAGGAGTTGGGCAAATTTTGTAAGAGGGTATTTGAAATTTCCCCGACTGTTCCAGAAAAGAGGAAGCGGCCTGACTACCGAGGTAAAGACCTTTCACCGAGGAGGGAACCGGAAAAATCTAACGAAAGTAAGAAAAGTTTCAGTTGCCTAAAAATGTATGTATAATATGACAGCTCCTGCATTGCTGATTGCTGGGACCTTGAGGACCTTTTTCAGCAGGTCTTTCACTGGGGGGGGGGGGGGGGGCGGGGGGCCGGGGGTGGGGTTAAAACAGCCACAAATAAAAAGGCCTGGAACTATCACGGAATATTAGCACTCATAATTCATAAAATATCAACACTCATTATAAAACATTAGCACTCATGAAATATTAGCACTCATAAAATATTAGCATTCATCCCAAAATCACTGTTTTGACAATCTGTGTTGATAGAAAGGTTTCTTCATATTGTCTGCATGAACTAGATATCGGTGATATCAATTTTAATCATAACCATATCGTTACATTTTAACCTGTAATTTAAAATAATTTTCAGGACAAATGGAATACTTCAACTTCGAACGCTATTTGGAACTGACCACCGTGGATATCTACAAACAATTAAGGGCCGCAAATGAAAAGAAAAAAGGTTTATATAATACATAGTATTTCATTTCGAATTCGATTTTAGTTACGAAATAATATTCACAAAATTCGTCATTAAAGTTTTTAAAGTAAGAAATGTTTTAGTCAAGATTACTGTCATGAAGATGCATAACTAGGTCTTACCTGTGGCTGTAGTCTTACCTGTTGCTGTAGTTTACAGGTAAGAGTTACATGACATCTTCATGACAGTTATACATGAAATTAGAACGACGCCGTAATTAACATGTTCATCATTTTAGTCGCCTACTATTACTAACTACACTCCTCAGCTGAACGATATAAGCACGATGGTTTTAACAAGAACGAGAACGTTCTAGTTGAAGTTATCGAGGATAAAGTGAAACGATCAGTAGGTGATCTGATTGAGAAGCGGGCGGATAATTGCAGAGTTTTTAATAAGAAAGGCTGGAGTATTTGTAAAAACTAAAACTCAATTCAGTTATATTTATTTTTGGTAATCTTGTTTTGCTCTTATGAGTGGGTCAATCATTTATTTTTAATTGTAGTTGACCAAATGAGAGTCTCCACTCAGTGTGTTAAAACATAATTATTTGTCGACGTTTCGGCTACATGCCTTTGTCATAAACAGGACGTACTGAAAACTTACATAGCTGCAAAGATACAATGTTAAAATAATCTATTAAAATAATCTATTAATACTACGAAATATAACAACAACAAATAACATCTTGAAACACAACAACAATCACAAATTTATCCAAAAGAAACATAAAATATAACGGCTAAAAGAATCCAAACCGCAACAAGCCGTGAACAATTCTTCATAATACTACAAACATTTTACCAAGATAGCTCCTTCATAAAACTGATTAATCAAAAATTATCTAGGTTTATAAGTTCAATATTACATTAACTTCCAAGTATATTTTATCCAATCACCTTCATTTACGGACTCAGACAATTGAGTATTTATTTCTGGGTTTTCACGTTTTATTAGAACCGACTGCCACAATTGACGGTCCACATAGTCTTTACATCTTTTTCGAACTATAAACCGAAACGGTATGTTTGGCATTGAAATGTCTGCATGCTCCTCTAGGTAGTGCTTCCCCATGGCCGTAGATTTGTTGCCATCCCTTACTGATTTGTAGTGTTCCCAGGCTCTACTTCTTTTAAACCTACCAGTTTCCCCAATGTAGGAAATGTCAATTGTGGCAGTCGGTTCTAATAAAACGTGAAAACCCAGAAATAAATACTCAATTGTCTGAGTCCGTAAATGAAGGTGATTGGATAAAATATACTTGGAAGTTAATGTAATATTGAACTTATAAACCTAGATAATTTTTGATTAATCAGTTTTATGAAGGAGCTATCTTGGTAAAATGTTTGTAGTATTATGAAGAATTGTTCACGGCTTGTTGCGGTTTGGATTCTTTTAGCCGTTATATTTTATGTTTCTTTTGGATAAATTTGTGATTGTTGTTGTGTTTCAAGATGTTATTTGTTGTTGTTATATTTCGTAGTATTAATAGATTATTTTAATAGATTATTTTAACATTGTATCTTTGCAGCTATGTAAGTTTTCAGTACGTCCTGTTTATGACAAAGGCATGTAGCCGAAACGTCGACAAAGAATTATGTTTTAACACACTGAGTGGAGACTCTCATTTCGTCAACTACAATTAAATATATATATTTATTTTTAACAATAACATATTTCATCGGTGATCGTAATGAGATAAAAACATTCAGGATGCTTCTTTTTGTGTATTGTTTTGTTTTCTTCTCATTCAATCTTTCAATTGCTTGTGAATAATAAAGTTTAGACTTAGTGAGGAATAATATGGGGATACTGGCACTGCTGCATGTAGCCGCCGTGTATCAATATGGTACACGAGCCGACTGTTGTGCCTTGTATAGCTCATTAACTATTAGTTAATAGTTTTAACTTTCAAGCCGCAAAATTTGACCTTCATCTGTGCGGAAATTTGTGTGTTTGTATAGTTTGTAGCGTGTTTGCTTTGTTTGTTAAACGTCGGTTTAAGATGCTACACTTAGCTACACGTTGCCAGATTGTATCTCGCGGGCTATTTTATGTCATATACTTATAGTCCGGCGGGCTGAAACATGTCATTTGCTTGCGGGCTGAGAAATATCGAGCCCTTTTACTAGCGGGCTGCGCGGGCCCGCTGTAGCAAAAAGAGGCCGCTGGTGTATATTATAATTTATCATTGAAACCCGTTATCTGACTTGATTTCATTTTCCCATCTTCTAGAATTAAAATATTGTGAATTCTAACCATTAATTTTCTCAGATTATGTTAGTAATAGTTTTCAATCAAATATTACCAGTTTTTACAAAGAAGTTCGTTTCACTTTAACTGCTCATACTATTTGGAAATCACTCAATTTCGCCTGGATAAAAGACTCTGTCTGTAGATCCAATAATATAACTATAAGGGATACAGAATTATGCGGATAGCATACACTTGACTCTTCTGTAGCTGCTATCCAGATATGGAGGGACTTGATTAATAAATATAATCAATGATTATCACACAACAACACCTCTAATAATACAAATTTGAATTTGCAGGTGAAATATCAATTGTCAAAATACAATTATTTGGGAAATTTTCCAGGTTTTGCGGGTGAGTAGTTTCTTGTATGAAATTTGAGTAGCCCATTTTGTGACTAAAAATACACTGTCATGATAGTTTTAGAGGGACTTAGGTTTTGTGGGGTTAGCTGTTTCTTGTAGCTTTGTAGGATTTGAAAAACACGTAAATTAGAACGATCGCTTCATTGTAGCCGCCGACAGACTCATTCCGTTCTTAACTCAGCTCTGATTACCACTTCAAGCAACTACTCGGACATCGAATTCAGCATGCATAACAATGGCAATGCAGAGAGATACTTTTGGGCGTCTTAAGTTTCATATTTGGCGTCATGTCATCCCTAATAGGAGATTCTTTGTCATACTCATAAGTTGTATGACCCGCCTGTATCGTAGAAACGCTAAGTGAAAACGACAATGGGGGTCACGACGTGATACAAGAGATACTCTGATCTTGATCTGTGATCGCATCATTCCAGGCAGAAGGAAGCCTTCAAAATTAACAAAATCTTAGTCACAATAATCCAGCACATCGCAGTCTCTGATTTGTGATTTAACATGCACTATCTCTACCATTGCTCCTGCTGCTATCTCCTTGCTAGCCAACTCGATCGTGGGTCATAGGAAAAGCACTTTGCTATGTTGAGTTGGAGGACTTCGCCGCTTCGACGCGCCGCGCAAATTAGCATTCTTGCTTCATCGTCGATCGTTGCTCTGCTTCGCAGAGCAACGATCTCGATGGATTGACATCATCAATCAATATGTTGAGGTATACGTCAGGTACATCGTTTTCCCACTTCCCAGCTGGTATGTCCCTCATCACAGTTCTCACTACATGACAAGCAAGTTCCTGATAATCAGATATCCTCTCGGAGCAGCAAGTTGGTCAACGAAACGAGCTCATCAAGTTTGCAGCTTCATTTGGGCTTTTGGCTTTGCCCTTCTCTTTCCAATATTCATCTTTGTTGTAGACAAGGATGATATTCACTTTGACTACCGAGTTTACAACTGTGAGTGTGGTTACAACTCTGATGTCTGATGCATGAAAGAAAATAATACCGATATTATAATTTATGTTCAGTATAATTCTAAATATAATCATCGTCGCCACAATTACAGTTCCTACACTGAAGTACCTAGCTGAAGCAGGGAAATCTGCAAGACGAGTTGGTGGAAGTGTTCCATGGCAAGGAGCCCTCACTGTAGCCCTCACTGCTTTAGTCTACTGCATCTCCACCTTACCTTTCACTGTTAACCAAATCGCCATCAGCTGCATGAAGGATCCCTTCGAGTTATTTATTCTTTTTGTCTTAAAATTTAGCACTTTCTTGTTGATGATAAATTTTGTGGCCAACTTTTACATACCTTATCGGACCTTATTTGGACGAACATTACTTGAACGGACATAATTATGAACGGACATTAATATGAACGCTAGAAGGCAATCAAAAATCCGAATTTTTTTCATCCTTTTTTTGACGTTTTTTAATTTTAGCAAATGATTTTTAAATCTATCGTTAAAATTTTTATAAAACCTTGTTTTTATTGAGTCAACGATATAGTTTAGTTTAATGATAGCTATTGAAATTGACTGAAATTAAAAAATTGTCGTATTCTGGACAAAAATTTCGAAATGGAGGCCCTAGCGTTCAAGTAATGTCCGTCCAAATAAGGTCCGATAAGCTGTATACGTTTTAAGTTCTAACGATCAGACGTTTCCGACAATTCCTCTTTTCCAAAACTCGTTTGATTGTTTCAACTAACGTAACTATCACTATTTCATCATATATCATATTTGATATTTCAATGTTCAACTTCAAGCAATGGGACCCACATGGATCGCTTAGGTTCCACCAGGATCTGGTAGTCCTCATAATTCTGCGGCCTCTATGTTTCGTCATCTCGCACAACTCTTTAAGAATCTTGTGGATTTGGCATGTGAAAATTTGCAGCCTTCCAGACATTGATTGGGTTAACGAGGTGTCGTACGTCACCTCAAGATCGGGTGACAGGGGGCTGACCAGGCCAGAACCCAATTGATTGGGTCTTAGGTCACGTGATTATGAGCCTGAGGTCACGTGACTATGACGTCACCAGACCTTCCTCTCCGTTTCCCGCTCATTGGACCAGGTGAGCTTGCATGCATGTGAATGTGGGTGTAAGTATAGCTGTACTGTAGTTTATACCTAATTAAACCCCTATAGAAACCGAAAATTTATTTTCTGGCAGAAAGCTAGAAATTTACCAAAATATCGTCATTGTTTTAAATTTATTTTGATGACCATTCCTGACCTAAAATCGCACGAGAAATCGATTAAACTTGGTTTCAGAACTCAACAATGCTTCCTTATGTCTTAAAATCCATGTTTTATCAATACAATCAACATCTCGATCATGTAGTTAAACTTATTACTTAACGGATTCAAGTATAGTTACGCGGTAGACAAACTAAAACAAAATTGTAGGTTTATAACCTACCAGGACCTGCGCCGAGTTAAACTCGTCGAAGGTAATATTTGGAACAAATATTTTACGAGTATCACCCGTTAAATAAACTTATATGTATAAAAACCTTGTGTTATGTGGCAGTTGTATTGCAATTTGTGCAATTTCAGTTGGGCAGCTTTTTTTAAGTGTCTGTTATTTCAATTTTCGTAATTAATCTGGAAGTATTATCGGCATCTTTTCACACATGTATATGACTACTAGCACATACACAGTGGCCAATAAGCTGTACACAGCAGGGTTTCAGCGTAATAATCGATCTTTTAGAATGTTCTAGTTTGAGTGTAGAATAGCCATTAGAGCTGAGTGTAAGATTAGGTAGGATTAGTGTATAGCTTTTGGATGGTTTTGCGGAGTAAGACACGCGTTAGTAGGGTGCATTAGTTAACAATATGTGGCCAATTGCAACAGCTTATTCTACTGATAGAATTTATCGACCAATGGCAGCAGTTTTAATCAAGATTACGCTAAAAAAGGCTGCTAAATAACGCAAGAAATGCAAGCATTATTTTAATCGTTACATTTTCAATTCGTTACAATTTTCCATTCAAAAATGAAGTTTTCCTCCCTTATTGGAGAGCCACTTGAGTTACCTCGAACGATTCCTTCGACTAGGAGAGTGCTTCAATTATTACTTCTTAGAAGTGACCAGCAACCGAAGGTACAGATTAACAGAATTCTGACCTTGGTGGCTGAGGAACTTGTTCAATTTTATGCTGAATCGGAATTATTGATATCTCTTAACAGTAAAGCCAACATCTTCAAGTATGTAGTTTCAATTTCCCTTGTAAATATTGTCGCTGAATATATGATCAAGCTATTAGATATATTATTACTTGCAACTTTACACGTGAATTTTTTATTCTTTTTGTTACAATTCGTTCGATATCCGTAGATTAAGACAGAAGTTGAGGGAGCGAGTGTGAGCATAGAACACGTATCAGCAAATTACGGACTTTGTTTGTTTATGATGTAACACTTATTTCGTAGGTTTTTATTCATTCATCTTTTACTTTTAGAAAACTGAAGAAACTTCATGCAACCATGAAGAAGATCCGTAATTGTAAAGTCAACAATACACCGTACGCCGACTTCCAGGATGAATTGAACAAAAGATTCTCGGTCCTTGGGAAGTTTTCTGACCCGAGGTTTGTAATACTCACTCCCATTCAGCGGTATATAGGAATAATGATTATGTAATATGTCGGGATGTATGCAAGGTGCAATAACTTGTTTAATGCAGACAATCGACTGTCTGTAAAGTACAAAATACACTACATGCTGCACACACATTGTTATAATGTACTAGTACAACTAAAACGATGAACATGGTGCAGGGTGTGTAGTGTGTAATGTGTAGTTTACTATGTACTGTACAGACAGGCGATCGTCTACATTATAAGCGACACAAATATTATATAGGTTTGTTTACTTTTCCTGTCCTACGCGTACGTATAGTAGCACTTTATCAGTTTAAGTAATTAGGATATATTATTCATTTCTATAAAATCTTTTAAATTTGATTGAATGATGAATTTCAGCCGATGATGAACAAAATGTGCGGAGGGAGGGTGTGGCCGATTGTCTGAAAATCCTTGACTGGGAGGAGAAGGTGCCACCCTCCCGACGTGTGAGGGTTTTTTACAAGCCTCACACAAGGAAGCATTG